AAAGATATTGCAGATAAAATATTTTTTTGACTAAAATGAAGTCAGCACTTAAGTAGGTCAAGCTGCTGTACTAACTTATTAATGAACTATATTTCCGGGCAAGCATATAGTGCACACAGTGAAAAATGCAACCTATTTTAAGCTAAATGTACATTTCAGCTCCATTTTTTTTAAATAAAGAAAGCATGACTGTGTATACTATTGTAACCCTGTACAGGAGCCTATAACATGCACAGTATGCAAACCAAGCATATGAGTTAAAATGCAACTAACTGTATAGAAAAAATGTTCTTAACAGATTGGATCCATATAGCAAATTGTGACAATAATTGGCTTGATCATTAACTACTTTACACTTTAACACAAATATTTGTTGTAAAGTGAAGTATAAAGCATTGATCTCTTTAAGAGTGCCATTTACACCTGCTCACATTTCTTTTTGTTTCACCCTTAAACTTTTTGGGAACTTAAGTCCCAGCATGTGCCCTCAGCCAAAGTATTGTAATTCCCCAGCATAGCGGCAGGGTATATGGAGTGTAGCAGGTAATATTTACATTGCCACAATATTATGATGTAGCCTAACTTACCAGTTACCTCTGTTTTCTAGATGTGATAATTACCATAAAGACAGCTGGCGCTCATATATCAAAATTAAAAAAATTAAAAACACAGCCACAAAGTGCTCCCAGGAATAGCTGCACATGAGCAAATACTTGCACACATTTTGAATACCAGCATGCCTGAATGAAATGACATAGTGTAAGTTAGACACTGGGGTACAATTGACTGTAAAAGATATACCAATGTTCAGAACCGCTTTACCTCTTAACTCTTTAGGTGCCATAAGCTCCTTAAAACATGAAAGTGACAACTCATGGAACAGTGTGAAAACTTACCATGGTTAAGATTAAAGCTGGCCATACACTTTAAAATCTGATTGTTCAAGTTCCTTTAGGCTTACCAAAACTCTGTAATGCCAAGACAAATGAATTGCACTGGTATGGAATCAGGTTGTGCTTTGCACTACATAGTTGATGGTTAATATAAAGGAGATTGTGCAATCAGATTGTATAGCGCATGGTCACCTTAAGCATTACAAACGACCAACCCATTGGAATGGAAAGCATCACTGTGTATCAATGTTTGTTAGAGAAGCTGAATGAAACACAAGCCCAGAGATACTGGGAATTTGTGTGCATGCCAGCGTGCTCAGTCAGAATGCACATCTGGAATGACAATTACTGAGCAATAACCAAGCAGCCAGACTAATCTGTCTCTTCTTCTTCACAAGACACATAATACTTGTATATTATAACTACACTTGTGGCTCTTACCATTTTTAAAATATAGATAAATAAAATATAAACATGGTAGATCGACTCTTATAAAACTACAACACAAAGGATCCTTTCCAGCTACTTACCGGTACCACTCCAGCCCTTTATCGTAGTTCCTGTCAAAAAAGTGGGGCTCTACACCAACAGCCCTGACATCAGGATGGGCTCTTAGTGCTTCAAGCAAAGCTCGGGTGCCTCCTTTTTTCACCCCAATAATAATTGCCTGAGGCAGCCTTTTGTCCCCATATTCAACTGTACTATTCACCGATATTCTTCGATTCATCTCATCGTCTGTAGTGCTGGACTCCTGAGGTTCCCTCTCCAAATATCCGGTATGAGATTCTGGGATCATTTCAGTGGCAGCCAGGGGAGCTCTGTCCCAGATATTTACATCACGCAGGGGTGAGCGCATTTCATTGCCTGGAAAATCCGAAAGTCTACCGACCTCCCCAGAACTTACTACTGGGATCCTAGTCTGCTCTCTTATAGGATCTATACCAGTGTGTACAGCCTCCTGGTAGCTTTGATCGGAAACTCCGTAAGACACAAACCCAGCTATGCTCGAGTCCTCGGGTGAAGGAGTCAAGCTGGATGTCGCTATGCTGTCAGCGTTGACTCTGGAAGTTTGACCATCCGTGAGATGAGGCTGCTGATTACCCGATCCTCGGAGTGAAGGGTGATCTATTAAATTACTAGACAGGATGGTGCCGTGGTAATAGTCTGGAGGACTGATCCTCCGGTCAGAGGATGCAATCGGAGCGTTGTCGAAGGTGCTGGTTTTATGGTGAGTCGGTGTAATGGGAATGCTGTTACTAGAGGATGGAGCAGAAGCGATGTCCGAGGTGCTAAAACTTGGATAACCACCGGTAAAAGGAGCGTTGTCCGAAGTGCTGAAACCTTTAATGGGAGTGCTGTCTAAGGTGCTGAACTCTCTATCACTGACCCCAGTGGGAGCTCTGTCTGAGGTGCTGAATCTTTTATCACTGACCCCTATGGGAGCGCTGTCCGGGGTGCTGAATTCTCTATCACTACCCTCAATGGGATCACTGTCCGAGGTGCTGAATCTTCTATCCCTGACCCCAATGGGAGCGCTGTCCGGGGTGCTGAAGTCTCTAATGGGAGCGCTGTCCGAGGTGTTGAATCCTCTATCACTGACATCAATTGGAATGCTGTCCAAGGTGCTGAATCCTCTATGGCTGGTCGTAGCAGAAGCGCTGAATCTCCGCTTAGTATAGATAACAGCAGAGCTGTCCAAGCTGCTGACTCTCCGATCAGTGGATGGAACAGGATCCTTGTCCAGGGTGCTGACTCTCCGATCAGTGGATGGAACGGGATCCCTGTCCAGGGTGCTGACTCTCCGATCAGTGAATGGAATAGGATCCTTGCCCAGGGTGCTGACTCTCCGATCAGTGGATTGAATAGGAGCTCCTTCCGGAGTGCTGAATACCCGATCAGTGGCTGTAATAACAGCCGATCTGCTGAACCTCTGATCAATGGCTATAACCGGTACGCTGTCCGAGGAGCTGACACTTTCCGCCGTGGTGCCAATGTAAGCGCTGTCCCGGGAGCTGGACCCGAGCAATGTGGATGGACCAGACCCAGGAAGAGTTCGCACTCCTAGTGTATCAGCACTGTCAGGGCTGCCGGGTCTCTGAGTAGCCCTGAGTAATGGCACTCTAGTCCTCACTGTAGGTGACAAGAGATCCGGCTGTGACAGGGTGACCGAGGTCCTTATTCTGCTGAAACTTGTAGTACCAGAGATATCGGAGGAGCCTGGCTGCTTGCTGTACCGAAATGGCGGGGCTGAGTTGGAAGAGGACACAAAGGCACTTACACCCCTCGGCAGCTCTTTGGAAGCGAGTTCCTGGCCAGCTTGTATAGTAAAGTCCCTACTATCTCCGCTGCCAAACCTGGACTTCAAATAGGATTTTGCGCTGCCGCTACTTCTAGCGTCGGGGCTCCCGGAGGCGGACGGCGGTGGGGAGCCCCTAATGATGCTGGTGTCCGGCTTAAGAGAAGCGGTTCTGATCGCGTCCACCGGGCTGATCCCGGGCTCCGGTTGTAGGTAGATCCCCGCTTCCTGCAGTGGGAACTGCAGAGAGCTGTAGCAGCTGAGCAGGCTGTAGAAAAGGTAAGTGACGGACAAGGACAAAGTGAAGAGGAACACAAGTTTCCGAGGAGCCTTAGTTGTGAGCAGGGCAGTGCCTGGCCAGCACGGGGCCATCGCGGATCGCCAGCCCCAGACCAACAGACATGGTTTCAGCCGAAATCGTGCATGGAGCCGCCTGAAGAAACAGCCCCTGGCGGAGGAGACGTCGGGATGTCAGGTCGGGAGCAGCGTGCTGATGGGCTTCCCGGCAATCTCAAGCAACTAGCGCCAGTTTAGCGTCTCCGGATCCCCCACCTCCAGGCACAAAGCCTCTTCCCATGGAATGCACCTCCCAGCAGGTTGTATTGCAAAAGCTGCCAACGGCTGATAACGAGCGGAGACATTACCGACAAGTGGCTCCGCTTAACCCAAAAAGCTCCGGCTGCTCCAGCGCTTGCTGATGGCAGGTAGGGATTGCAGCATAGTCACAGAGCTAAATCCAATTCCCCTCTCTCGCCTGTTGCAGACAGGCCGGTTCCCTGAGCAGCAGCAGCAACTTTAAATCGAGGAAGAGGCGTCGGTGGGTCCAATTCAGCTCCGCAGGAGGCACCAGTAAAGCCCCGCCCCTCTTTGCACACGGACACGCCCACCTATGTGTCTAGCAAGCCACCTTCACCTGCTTCTTGTCACCGGCGCTGCGCTCGGCGTCTGCGATCAGCGATCTCTCGGCGGGGTAAGGAGGAGGAGAGAGGAGGAGTCAATATTTACTTGCCAAAGGTGAACAAAGATCTGTTGTGACAGCAAGTAATTCAGAGATTGGCTTGTTGCATGACAACTATCGGGATTTTATTATTATTTCTTTGCGCTGTCACGTAGGAGCTCAGGACAAGCAGAGCAGTATGTATAGTACAATGGAGGGAGCAAGTAATAGCAAAGCACAAGGCAATACATTTGACAGTATGCATGTATCTGTATGTAGATCGTAGCAGAAACCGAGTGTCACAACATCTTGCCTTGCTAATGCAATAATAATGGAATGCATTTACAGAGAGGCGTTTTGCTGTATTAGCTGATGCTGGGGCCACACATACTGAGCTAGTTTAGTGTCTAGGCAGATGTCTGTTTGATGTCCGTTTATAGCTTACTAGTCATTTCAATTCTACTGATCATTCATGTATAATAAACACGTTTTTGGATTTAAAAAAAAAGAGAAGAGCTATTGTAGGGGAAGAAATCAAATTGTGGGTTTCACAGTAATTAATTACGCCACACGCACAAATAATTCAAATAATTTTTCTTAGGTTAGATTATTTCAGAGAGAATCTGCTCATTAGCTTGTGTGAGTCCAGAGGAGGGTAGACAACTCAAAGAGAATGGTGGGGAGATATGCCGGGGAGATATGCCTGTCTTGTGTAGGATTATGACTTGTTGTCATTTATGCCATTATTACAGTGTCAGAAATGGTGCATGTATGCCAAGATCAGCTGCTTTATTTCTTTCTTCCTCTAAGAGTTGAGCTAGGTTACCGAACACCCTGGTGTGACAGAACTGGCCAAGGGTTGGCATAGCACCTGTGATTTAAGGCCGGACTCCGGGAATTTAAAAAGCAACCCTTGAAGTGCAGTGTTAGCCTCATTGCAAAGGTTAAACTGCTGGTTTTGGTATAGGGGCTCAAATAAAAACAAATACATTCACCTGATCATTGATCCTCCGAACTGCTAGACCAGTCCCCACAGCTTGTTCTCACCCAGGCTCCAACAGTCCAAGCCCTGCTGATGTCATCCCATCTAATGCAGTCCATTAACCTGTATTAGATGAGAGGATGTTGAGGGACATACCACACATGGAGTGGAGGGTGAGAGAGGTGAATGCTCACTGCCGCCTGACCGAGGACAAGGTGAGCGTATCTTCTGAATGCTGTCCTCTAGACCAAAACAAGAAGGTGACCCTTGCAGTTCAGGGGTAGCCCCACTGCAAGGGTTAATTTTTAAAAACAACTGGAGTTCTTTAAATTTGTTGCCCTTTACTTCAAGGAATAAAATAGTAGCTCTTTGTGCAATGCTAATTTTTTGCCAGCGCTGTCACCTGCAGACTCACCGTTCTGTGATCTATGGTCCTCCAGGTTGAATGATGGCCACCACTTATCCTGAGCCAGGACATCAAGCTGTTCTGAACTCACATGATATTTCTGCAAGGAACAGTACTGTATTATTATGTGATGCTGTTCTCTGCAGAATTCTAGACCAGCCAGAGAGGACCTGTGACATCACATGACCATACCAGTTTGAATGATGCTCATCACTTCTTGTGAGCCCAGGGCATCAAATACTCATCATCAAGCTGTTCTGGACTCACAGGAGAATGCTGCAAGGAACAGCACTGTATTATTATGTGATGATGTTCTCTGCAGCATTCTAGGTCAGCCAGAGAGGACCTGTGATGTGACCATACCGAAGGCGTCTGTGACAAAAATAGCAGTGCATCCCAAAATTTTTAAAAAAACATACATTCTGGAGGGGAGCGTCAGGGGGTTGAGGTTGGACAGGGGAATGGGGGATGGATTTAACATGGATTTGGACTTGGAAAAAATGAAGGATATGAGGGACATGGTAATTGATTGTTTTGGGGTACAAGGACTGTGGCATATGTGTGCAGTGAATACTGTGAGTAGACTTTATTTATCCATGCCTGACAGTCAGGGCAATGTAGCCAATAACAGAAGGCCATACATATCCAGACTCTGCTATTGATCAGAATGCTCAAACAAAGCAGGTGTGGAGTAGGGATGTGCTCAGGTTTTGACTGAACAGAGTTTGAACCTAAGCTTCTCTACAGAAGGAGCTCCTACTGAACACAGAAGGAAGCTCCTGCTGTGCTGCTCAATCAGCCGCAGGCCGGAAATTCCCCACCTGCAGCTGATATAAGCAAAGAGGTAGGATGCAACAATTGGTAAAATATATTTACATTATATGGTTACGTGGCCATGTTAGGTGAATGACATCAGCACAAGCATCCCACTCCCGTATTTACATGCAGTTTCGGAGTAGGGAATGTCCAGCCTTCAGCTGATTGGTTGGAAATGCTCATGGTACTTCCTTGTTCGAAAGAGCTCCGGTTCAGATCATGTTTAGTCCAGATCTGAGCTTATCCCTAGTGTTGAGTTGGAGAACCCCACAGTGCGTCTGCCTTTTAGATGTTTATTTAATACACTAGTGCAAAGTACAATGATGATGTGCAAAGCAGAATAACTCAGACAATGGTCGAAAATTATATTTTAATGGATTTATTGGCATTAATATGAAATCTTCTTGATTGTTATGAGTACATGCATACAATAAAAAAATTGAACTGCTTTAATAACAATGTTTTTTAATGTCAATCCAAAACAGCGACTGGATTTGTTAAAGCTGAACTCCGGGATAAACAAATATTGTCTACTTACAAGAGGCATGTGTATTCTTTCTTAAATCTACTCCAGTGGCACAGTGTCAGAAATGGTGCATGTATGCCAAGATCAGCTGCTTTATTTCTTTCTTCCTCTAAGAGTTGAGCTAGGTTACCGAACACCCTGGTGTGACAGAACTGGCCAAGGGTTGGCATAGCACCTGTGATTTAAGGCCGGACTCCGGGAATTTAAAAAGCAACCCTTGAAGTGCAGTGTTAGCCTCATTGCAAAGGTTAAACTGCTGGTTTTGGTATAGGGGCTCAAATAAAAACAAATACATTCACCTGATCATTGATCCTCCGAACTGCTAGACCAGTCCCCACAGCTTGTTCTCACCCAGGCTCCAACAGTCCAAGCCCTGCTGATGTCATCCCATCTAATGCAGTCCATTAACCTGTATTAGATGAGAGGATGTTGAGGGACATACCACACATGGAGTGGAGGGTGAGAGAGGTGAATGCTCACTGCCGCCTGACCGAGGACAAGGTGAGCGTATCTTCTGAATGCTGGCCTCTAGACCAAAACAAGAAGGTGACCCTTGCAGTTCAGGGGTAGCCCCACTGCAAGGGTTAATTTTTAAAAACAACTGGAGTTCTTTAAATTTGTTGCCCTTTACTTCAAGGAATAAAATAGTAGCTCTTTGTGCAATGCTAATTTTTTGCCAGCGCTGTCACCTGCAGACTCACCGTTCTGTGATCTATGGTCCTCCAGGTTGAATGATGGCCACCACTTATCCTGAGCCAGGACATCAAGCTGTTCTGAACTCACATGATATTTCTGCAAGGAACAGTACTGTATTATTATGTGATGCTGTTCTCTGCAGAATTCTAGACCAGCCAGAGAGGACCTGTGACATCACATGACCATACCAGTTTGAATGATGCTCATCACTTCTTGTGAGCCCAGGGCATCAAATACTCATCATCAAGCTGTTCTGGACTCACAGGAGAATGCTGCAAGGAACAGCACTGTATTATTATGTGATGATGTTCTCTGCAGCATTCTAGGTCAGCCAGAGAGGACCTGTGATGTGACCATACCGAAGGCGTCTGTGACAAAAATAGCAGTGCATCCCAAAATTTTTAAAAAAACATACATTCTGGAGGGGAGCGTCAGGGGGTTGAGGTTGGACAGGGGAATGGGGGATGGATTTAACATGGATTTGGACTTGGAAAAAATGAAGGATATGAGGGACATGGTAATTGATTGTTTTGGGGTACAAGGACTGTGGCATATGTGTGCAGTGAATACTGTGAGTAGACTTTATTTATCCATGCCTGACAGTCAGGGCAATGTAGCCAATAACAGAAGGCCATACATATCCAGACTCTGCTATTGATCAGAATGCTCAAACAAAGCAGGTGTGGAGTAGGGATGTGCTCAGGTTTTGACTGAACAGAGTTTGAACCTAAGCTTCTCTACAGAAGGAGCTCCTACTGAACACAGAAGGAAGCTCCTGCTGTGCTGCTCAATCAGCCGCAGGCCGGAAATTCCCCACCTGCAGCTGATATAAGCAAAGAGGTAGGATGCAACAATTGGTAAAATATATTTACATTATATGGTTACGTGGCCATGTTAGGTGAATGACATCAGCACAAGCATCCCACTCCCGTATTTACATGCAGTTTCGGAGTAGGGAATGTCCAGCCTTCAGCTGATTGGTTGGAAATGCTCATGGTACTTCCTTGTTCGAAAGAGCTCCGGTTCAGATCATGTTTAGTCCAGATCTGAGCTTATCCCTAGTGTTGAGTTGGAGAACCCCACAGTGCGTCTGCCTTTTAGATGTTTATTTAATACACTAGTGCAAAGT